CGATTCGCTCTGTCCTGAGCTGACCACCAATAATCTGGCATAGACGATGCTGACATCTGGTTCCTTAGTGCTTGCGGCGATCCTTGGAGGGGGCGGACGATTGTCTGGGCTTCTTGCTGCGAGCAGACGGACTTGGTGACCGGCGTCGTTTATGCGTCGGTTTCTCATCCGTCTCCCGGGCATCAAGTTTGCGATCCTCTGTTGACGAAGAGGGCAGAAGAAGCAAATATGGGCATTATGGTTAGTCTTGTGCTGACACCATTGGAGAGAGCGCAAGAGAGAAAGCGAGGCAAGTGGTTTTCGTTTGCCCACGTGCCAAAACCCTTGAGTGTCCGGAAAACTTCCAAATCACAAAGCTACTGGTATTAACCGAACCTCCATTACAGGGGGAAGATGAATGAACTTCGTAAAGCGACCGACGTGTATGTCATATGGATGCTGATATGACACATCAAACCTCCTTACATCGCTCGAACATTGGTCAAGGGCAGTGGATTAAGAGAATTCGGTTGATGTCATTTGCTTTGACCTCCGCAAGGCCCCACAGAAGCGCTTCATCCAAAGGATATCGGACACAAGGATTAGAGGAAACCGCCTAAACTTGATTCGAAATTTCGACGACAAAAAGTCACCGTGAGTTGCTACTGCTTAGAATTGGCGCCTGTTATTGGGCCGATCATATTCATCATCTATGTAAATGACCAAGTAAAGGAAGTGAAGTCTGATATAGCGCTCCTTGCGGATGATTCTAAGCTCTGGAGGGTGATAAAAGACGACAAAGACTCCATGATATTGCAACAGGACACAGAACGGCTGCAGTGGCATGGAGTAAATGAAATTCAAGGGCGACATATGCACAAAACGTCAGCAAGACGCAGAATAAATGCACTTTCACAACAGTATCCCATGGAAAACCAACCACTTAAAACAGCAAATGCGCAAGAAGGTCTTGGAGTATTCGTCATGGACGATTTAGGCGTAACAACGCCGTGTTCCCAAGTCGTAGTGCGACCAATCACAACTATGAGTGCGGTACACAGAACGTTTGTAGACATTTGTGGTGATATCGTTGATAAAATTTATGAATAACTTATGTAGTCCTACCTGGAATATACTCTACAGGTTTGGCGGTCGTGGATTCTCAAAGACGGGCATTCTTGGGGGTGTGCATCGACGTCCTACGAATGCCACTCTCGAAATCAAAAGTTCAACGTGCGAGCAGTCTCCAACCAGTTTGAAGCTCTACGCCTGCACAGTACAGTGGTGCTAAGGGACTCAATCTTGATGTGGACTGGGAAAATCTTTTCGAAGTAGCGCCGAAGACGAATCCCAAACGGCACAATTAACAACTTAAAGAGAAGCTGTGCCGCATTAATCAACGTTTAGCCTATTTCTCGTAGAGATTCATCCGTCACTGGAGTGTTTTGCTAACGGCTGTCGTCAATTTCCCCCACTGTGTGTTTAGGAGGCGTCTGAATACTAACCTGTGAAGGGTCAGGCAGAACTCCCTGACACTCGTCAGCTATGACGCTGTTATAACTATAAACGTGCTACTATCTTGATTTCAATAACCTCTTTTGTTTTGAGGCGGAACGTGGGCGCAGGTGACTGGCACGGTGGAAACTCGTACCTAGGCGTACCAACACACACAAGCCCTGGTCCAAGACAAACACTTGACCAGAATGTAAAACATAAAATGAGACTCCACGAGGTAGGAGTACCACAGAGGCCATATTAAGAATTTATGCTTATGCTCAAAAAATATGGGACTTCTTAACGAATTAAACGAGTTCCTAAACTATGTCCGTACTTACACCACAGGCTACGAATATACAATTCTGACGTTGTTCATTGATATTTTGGCAGATTTTGAATAATTCATTATGACTCAACTGCCAAAATATCAATGAATTACGTGAGCCTAGTAGTTATCTGGTGGATTCTAGGTGAATTACTTAGGAAATCCTGCTTGGGCAGTCAACTTACTGTATTAGATTTGGTGGATTCTAGACGTTGCAGTAGGTTGGGGGGTTAACTTGACCCAAGTGTGATAAAACTCGCGTCGTCCGGCGGGGCCTCTTAGCTCAGGCGGTTAGAGCGTTGGGTGTACTAAAGCCTTCCCCCTTACTGCGTGGGTTCGAATCCCACCGAGGCGCCGAGTTTTTCACAGTTGGGTCAATATGAATTCTGACGTTGGTTAAAATTTCTGCCTTGCTTCTGGATGCAACAATCGATGACCGCATGGGATCCGGGTTTACAGATACGTACATAAACGACCGCGGTATTTAAAAGTCGAGGGGATGACCTAGTTCTTCGACAGGGGATGGCCAAATGTGCCTTGACCAACAACAGTGCCAAAGCGCACCTACAAGGGGGAGCAAGCTCTTCGAGAGCTCGAAAATAATTACTTAATATACCTTGTTTGGACAGCCTGCTTACTGTATCAGGATAGGTGGATTCCATACGTTGAAGCAGGCTAAGCGGTAATTTGACCCAAATTTGATCAAATTCACGGCTACCCACGTGGGGCCTCGTAGCTTAGGTGGTTAGTGATCTTACTACACTGAAGCCTCGCCCTTGCTGTCGTGAGTTCGTATCCCACCAGAGAGGTCGTCGGGTTTTTCAGAAGATGAAAGTGTTGTTCGCAATAAGCGGAAGGGACGCCAGTTTAGCCAAAGTCTGAAACATCATTGTCTCACCCGAATCCTGCCCAGTCTATTGGTTGCGACTATTGTTGCTCATATTACTGGGGGACGAGTCACGCGCTGAATGGTGGAGCTCACGTGAGAGGAACTCAACAGTGCAGACACCGCAAAAAAACAGCTGGCTAAAACAAAAAAGCTGGTGTTCCAAACACAAAACCTACCCCTGAGAGCCTCCTCCTCAAGTTGGTCCCAATTCTTGCCTTCGGATTCGTCCGAATCAAGAGAGCCCTCACTGCTAGAGTCCTCCTCAGCCTCCCAATCCTCATCCTCGTCATCTTCGTCGGATGCGGATCCACTGCCCTCACCATCACTAGCCGAAGAGGTAACCGAGGGCTCGTAGTTTTCGTCCTCCTCCTGACTGTCCACATCGTCCTCATCACCCTCGTCGTCCTGCACGGGCGCATGCGTTTTCATGAGAAAGGAGGGGGGGAGAGGGAAGGAGAGAGTGAAGTCGATGAAGAAGTGAACTCAAACGTTGTCGGCGGCGGGGGAGGAATTAAAGGTGGAACAGGGGAAGTAGAAACTAAACTGCGAGGACCAGATTTACGCAGGACAAAGTAGGCGCGTAAGCACTTTTTGACACGCCAGTTCTCAGCTTCCGATGGGCTACAACGGTGGGTTGTGTTATCGTCGCCCTGACGAGCGCGAGTGATGCGCAGTTGTCAATTCGTCATACTTTAACTTAAGGCTGGAAAGACCTGGACATTGGGTGTAAATTGTCACTGACTAAAACGTTCGACCAGCTGAACGGTGGGGAAAGTCGTTAGGAGCCTATCGATTACCATGCCATTGGCTGGCGTAAGAGGGAAACGAAGATGATGATGATGATGATGATGATGATGATGATGATGATGGTGGTGGTGGTGGTGGTGGTGGTGGTGGTGGTGGTGGTGGTGGTGGTGGTGGTGGTGGTGGTGGTGGTAATAGTAGTAGCAGTTTGCACAAAAGGTGTAAAGGGGAGGGGAGGGAAGAAAAAAGAACCAACGAGGTACGGCCAAGATTACAAAACTTACGTCGTCTGGAGAAAGGAAGCTCCAACCGTTCTGTTCGAGAAAGTCCTCCGGATTGTCCACGATCGTCTTCATTAATTTAGGCCAGTTCAGGGACTTTGCACCTTCGGAGTAGAAGATATCGCAAGACCTAGATAACAAATGAGACAGGTGACAACAGTCTTTATCTATGATAGTGACGGGCACAGTGACCATGAAATATATCGAGATTGAATAAATAAATAGGTAAAAAGAGCATGACAGCACCAGTCAGTGGTCTTCTAGTGCGGTTTTCTCCAACGTGCACAGCTTATATAATCTCGTCGGAGGCAGAGTCAACTGATTTCTGACACTACTTGAACACCACAACCATCTCCCACTGAGGAAGAGGTACCGCAGGCAAATGGCGTCACGCATTCGCCGAAGTGTGCAACTCCGGCAAATTTCCATACTGCCGCAAAACACTAACATTTCTAACCGGAAGGCCATTTTCATATGTCATGATGGGGAAATTTCGAACATGCAAATGCACGAACTCAATGCTGGTTGACGGTTCGAAGAGAAGACGCCCCTTGGAATGAGGAGCTGTGTTTCATATCTCAAATCATAAGAAGCGAATCTGGTCAGCCATCGTTGGAAAGTTGAAAGCGCCATGCGGCATGCATGGTGAGATGTGTGTGAGCTGCGCACGGAAGTAATGAGGCTCTGGAAATCGGTAGCTGACAACACCTTCATCACACTCACGACAAGTTACCTAATTTTTCGATAAACTCGGTAGCCCACCACTATCTGACTGTACACCAGGAGTACTGCGACTCGCCCCACGGGGTCGAATTAGGTATATGTAGTGTGCAATTTATGGATGTGGAGGAGTTTGTTTTTTGCTTGTTCAGTCAACCCTACTTGTTTATTTCAGTAGGCAGAAATTTAGAATACTTGTTGACAAGCTGGAGGTGAGGACGACGGTCCGAAAATCGAGTACGATGATGACCTCTGCTGCATCTACCGCATCCTCTCTCCCCTCATCCACCTGGGTCCGGTGTAGAGTCAAGAAGTCCAGAGTCGAGATCGGGCAGACAAAGCTAAATCGCCAGCCTACGCGTGCCACGTACGGGCAACTAGGATCCCAACGGAGTGGGAGTGCCATAGAGGCGACGGTTAGAATGCCGGCTGACCCCCTCTGTCCTGAGCGGAGGACCGAGTTGGTCCGTCAGTTGGCAGCCTTCCAAGTCAAGGCTTTTAAGCCACCCTGATCATTTGAACGAGCATTAGGTTGTGGTGTGTGGTTGGGTACGAATTAGCAGCTTCGGATGAATAGGATATCCGGACCGACCTTGCTTCCTGTAGGGAAAATTTCCTTCAACACTAGCACCAGCTGCAAAGGGAGTGTGACTCAGATTGCGAAACGCCTAGGTCACCCACGGTTGGACCAACCAATATGACCTTGGCAAATACTCGTCGCAAGATGGAACACAGGGGGATATGCGGCTCGAATCTCACATGCAGCAGAGGAGCCGCATGGAGGGGGGGGGGACGAATAGCACACTTCTCGCCTACATGAGAGGTGCCGGCGTTGTGTGGTATTGGTGTTCCGGTGTGATGCATACCTTGAGGGATGAATGACTGTGGTGATTTACCGCAGGTTTTCACGAGGACTCGTGCGACCGACTAAGCCCACGAGACGACTAAATATGCGGCGACAGTGCGGACAGTTGAGGCGATGAGGTCTGGTGCATGTTGATGCCCCAGGCACTGCTTCGCCAGTCTCGGTGCGATGAATTCGCAAGTGACCCATTTGGCCGATGCGCGACGTGCATGTACGATGGCAGTGTGGGCAGGATATGTTAGGGAATGCTGAGTCGGTTGGGGTTGTTATGCTGGAAGAAGTAATCATGCTAGTGGATGGGGAGCTGGGTTGGGTTACTAGCTGGGTGTTCAGGATATGCGAGGTGCCTCGGTACTGCGGTGAATTCCACTGTCGTGGATACTCACGTGGCCGAATAGGCCACTGCGGTGAGCGAATGTGCGTGGGCAGTGTGGACAATGGAGGCGGATGCGGGGAGTGTACGTGGAGGTTCCTGGCCCTGGTGCAACGGTTTCATTGCGATGGATTCGCAGGTAACCGACCAGGCCCACCCGTGAGGTGGATGTACGATCGCAATAAGGACAGATTGGGACCGTGTTCACATCGGTGTTGGTGTGAGTGGTGGTAGTTAGGGTGATGGTTGACGATACGTCATGAGCGTCCGACCGGTGGCGGTAGTGGAAACTGTGGTGGTATTCGTCGTGAAGATCGTGGCAGAAATGGAGGACAGAGTTTGCGCGTCAGTTGGCAGCCTTCCAAGTCAAGGCTTTCAAGCCACCCTGATCATTTGGACGAGCATTAGGTTGTGGTGTGTGGTTGAATGACGTGAAGATGGAGGCTCCGAAGTTGACCTTGCTCTCTGGTCCATCTCCCAGGCACCAGTTAACTGCCCGAGTCGTTCACTCATCTGATGCGGGGATTGGGCACAGGTGGCTGATGCGCCGCGAGCCTGCGCGTAGGAGTGCCACCACACCTGCCCCTCCATGTGTGACATTGTTATGGATGTTCAGTCCAAATAACGCATGCCATACTCTGAAATGGGTGCCGCATTGGTCCAGCGCAACTCCCACGTGGCCTGATGTAGGAGTTGAAGGTGAGCACACTTTAGTCACCAATACCGAATCGCCTCGTCCGCAACACCGAGAAATGAGTCAGATTGCTGTTGCTTCGGTCCGCCGGCTATCGTACGCCAGCTCTGTAACGCCTGGTCTATAAGAGGATCCCCAGTTTTCAAAGTCAAACAATGGGCTGTTTAACAAGACTTCATTTTCAAGATATACAGGGACGTAGGATGAGCAGGCAAGAACTGCCCAATTCAATCTTCCAATGAGGTACTTTGTAAATCCGAGTCCCTAGAACGACTGATTCTGTTGTGGCGCCCCAAGTGCGTATTTGCCACCCGCCTCTGACACCTGCACCGAGCCGAAAATCGTGTGACCACGACTCCCAGTCGCCCGGGAGTCAGTCCAGTCGTTGCGGTCAAGCATATCTTCATTCATTTTGACCCTGATTTTTCATCAGAACAGCGTGGATGAGGAGGTTAAATGTTGCCAAAAGTTTCCGTCACCAACACGCGCCCACGCCTCCGAGGCCTGTGATGATCACCGTCGGTTTCTCCGTAAACAAAAACGCGAACGTGTGTGAGTGGCGTCTTCGCCAATCTATCTTGAGCATTCACCTTAGAGTTCATTACTCAAACAGAGCGCAGACAGCAGGTGATGAAACTGGAAGCAGAAAGTTGACCCCGTCCATGTTGCCAGTTCCACTAGTTCTTAACAACACAGTCGGATGGTCGCACTCGTGATGAAATATCAGAATGCCTCTAATGCACTGTCATTGCTTCTGTTTAACTGGGAGCATTTAAGGTTTTTCCCTCTGAAGGATGTGTTGGGGTTGTTGACTGGTTACATACTGGACGCCTTCCTAGACTTTTACATGGAGGTTGTGTTCACCGGGCTTTGGTCTTGGAGTTAGAAGACCCCGGTCCTGGCGGACGGTTATACCACGACTAAGTAGGAAAAAATGGTTACCAATCAGGCCGGGGGGGAGGGGAATAGGCTCAAGAGTTCCAGAGCCTCGGGTGTTCGACACTAAGGGGTTGGGTATGACTGGCTGACGACGGCTAATAAGCCAAAAATGGCCATTCCAGTCTCCCTTGCCCTTGTCGGCAATGCCATTCTACCTATATCATGCGTCGTTGTGCGGATGCTGATTGGGCCCGAGAGAGTCCATAGGGCACAACGGAACGAGTGATTTCCGTAAGAACGATCGGTGCGCGCCTCCTACCATTGCATATTCCTGATCGAAACCGACAGGGCAACGGGCTCGTGGCCCAGTGGTTAGAGGCGTGGACTAACAGGTCGCGAGTTCGAGCCTCGGGTGTTCCACACTTCAGGGTTGGGTATGACTGGCTGACAACGGCTAATAAGCCAGAAATGTCCATTCCAGTCTCCCTTGCCCTTGTCGGTAATAACATACTGTTCCCGATCTGGCTTTGATTGACTGACAGCGGCGAATAAGCCAAAACCAACCAACCGCCCCTCCCCCTCTGCTAAAAATGGCTATTTCAGCCTATCTTCGTCCCTAACAGTGTCCACTTCAAGTTAGGAGAGGGATTGCAACTTACATAACCCACTCCTTCACATGGTCCAGTGCAGAGCTCGGTATGGAATTGACCATGGCCGGCTTGGCGCGGTAGTCTTTGAAGACGAAGACCATGTCGAAGGTGCGGATGGAAAGACTGACACGCTCAAAGTGCACCAGCTCCACTTCATCGAGGGTGATAACGAAGGGTGGCCATTCGACAAGGCTGACAAGGCAACTGCTGGTTGGCATAAGTAACACAGTGGATCTAAGTGAAAAAAGGAAATAGAATATTTAGCATTATAACCCGCAACGTCAGCGTGTCCCGTCAGACCAATAAGGATTACTTTAAGCAACCTTGAGTGTTGCTGGCAAACTAACCTGAGAGGGCAGCCAAAGAAACCGAGATCGCGGAAGGGAATCTCGAACTCCAAATTGTAACGTTTGGCCAGGGCCTCTGCACGATCAACAAAGGACTTAAATGCATTCTTTATCTGTTCACGCATCTCGCGTTCGCGCTGTTCCGCCTCCAGATCATCTCGGTCGTGCATACGCGAGTGTGTCTTGCCCAAATCAGTTGTCAGTTCGCCGACTTCGGTGTAGAACTGGATATCAGTCTGTTTCTTTTTGCCATACATGATTGCATTCTAAAGGACAAACAGTGTGCAGTAAATAACGCCTACTCAACTAATTTAAGTACTAATTTAAGTCCTCGTCGATGAGGAAGCGCTTAGCCCACAAGAAAGAGGACAGACTTGCAGAGCCTACCTTGAGATGGAAGTGCAGGAGAATGATCATTTCGCCGTCGCAGGGCTGGTAAAAGGAGTGTTTTATGTTATTGTAGAGGATATCCACTTTGTCTCCACGGATTGACGTAAAGCGGAAACCGTTACTGTGAGCCTCCAACGTGCCTGTAAAAAGCAGTTTGGGGCAAATTGAAGGAATCCCCTCCGAACGGAACCCATGTAAGGTCGTTATTAAAAAAATCCTACTCACCCGTGATCCGCTTCGTTACGATGTTCGGTCGGATGTACAGATCACGCAGGCGGAAGGGACTCTTGACAGGATCAACCACCAGGACGTCCTGTTCGACCAGATTTGCCCTTTCCCGTTCCTCAGCTTCACGAGAACGAAACTTCTTGAGAACTTCCTTGATTATGCGGTAGGCATTGTTCAAATTAGTAGAGGGAGACGCAACGTCGCCGTGGTGACGTTGGTTAGAGGCACGATAAGTCATCTCCTTCAGAAAAGTAGACTGTGGACTCTGGAGACGGGGAAGAGATTTCGAAACAAAATTATTCCATGGAATGAGAAAACCAAAGTATTCTTTGAATCATTGCAGTGGAAGGGGGGCTAACTTACCGGAAACATGGAGGCATCCTTGGGACCAATCACAGCCCCGGGGTGATGGAAATTGATACGGAGATAGGTGTAATCGGCCTCGATGGAAGTGGAGACGTTTTTCAGCGTACTGATATGAAATGGAGTTGGGTGGCCGAAGATGGGCAGGATAATGGTCTCATACTTCTTGTCTGAAAATTAAAACGAGAGTGGTTGCCGCACCTTAGCTGTAGGTGAAAGTATTTTCCCGTGGGCACAAAAGGAAGAAAACTGAAGGCCCCAGTCTTCTTTACACGCCGTAAAGTAGAACTACTGGCCATGAATAGCATTTTCCAAAGTAATAACAATCTGTTATTCTAGCCAATACTACCGTTTGGGGTGAAAGACGAGTTCCAGAATGTAGTTCTGAAGGGGATACGATCGATGGAACAAGAAGTTTATTGGCTTGGTGCTTCGCATTCTCACCTGAACGCATCATCAGACGCAGCAGCACAAGGAACGCAGCATTTATAGGACGCGGTTGCAATACAACTCTTGACGAGTCCGGCATGCGACTACAAATAACCTAATGTGCTTTTAAACTATTACTACACGTCGACCGTCGTGTCCTGGATGGCTGCGAACTCGGTATTATTCAGGGTCAATGGGCAGTGGGTCCTTCCTAATATGACTGCTATGGAACTCTCGCCCGCGTTAGAGACCTCAGCCCCTTCTACTCGGCGTCCCAGTTTCTTTTAAGTCTTGAGTTGGCGCCTGTGAAGGACGCGTAGACGGGTTAAACCCCATTGGCTATTGCGCCCACGGGGCAGGTGCAGCAAAAATCACCCACCACACTACGATCGCTAGGACGGTGATAATTCCCCATCACTTGCGATGGACAAACTATCATGGACTGACAGGAAGCTCTGAAAATGGCGGTAATGATGCGGCTTCAGGGTCCCACGCTCACTATGGCTCAGGCATTGAAAGCGCTTACAAGCATCGGGATCAGTCATTTAAAAAGGCACATTTGTTACTTATGAGAAAGGCAAGCTTGAATTGCGCTGTGCGTCAGGGAAGGGACCATCTCAATGATCCGCAGGGAATTATATGAACCAGTGGAAGTAGAGTAGGGTGGGCTAACTCATGAAATGTCCACCGAAATGCCGAAATGCGTTTTCGTTTCGCAAAGAGTAATTAAGTAGGGTTGTAAAACTGGTCAGTGTGCAATATAATTCTATAATATTTCAGCATGCCGGGTTTCGAATGAACTTCCTTCCGGCTGCATATAGGAACCACACTCCGTAAAAAATGACTACTTAAGTAGCATGGTTTTTTCTCATTGATGTTCGATGCTCCTAAAAGTTCAGTTATATTTCATGGGAAACATGCATGAAAATATTCATTCTTTTGCTCATTCGGTAGATAAATACGCCTTCTTACAATCTTACACTCGAAAGAGGGAGATAATTCGGTTTTAAACAAGTTTCTAATTATAGGACTTTTTAATACCGTGAAATGGCCGTCCATAAGTCATCATGGCTCTGTATTTACCAATTTGGCTTGTAAAGTCAACAATGTGGATCAAATTAACTGCTAAATTTCATGAGCCCTACATGATCCCCCTTATTACCGTGAAGAGATGTGTGGCTTTCTGTACGGCTTGTAGTTTTGAAACCCTGAATCCAAGTGTAACGGCAGGTCGAAATTCAAAGTTATTCGGGAATTGGAAAAGTTTTTGAAAACCAAATCATACCTTCCTTCGGAATAGAAAATTGCAAGAAGACGTATTTTCTACCGAATGAGCAAAAGACTGACTATTTTTTATGCATGTTTTCCATGAAGTATAATTGGACTTTTAGAGGCATTGAAAACCAATAAGAAAAATTCATGCTACTTATGTGGTCATTTTTTACAGATTGTAGTTTCTGCATGCAGGCGGACGGAAGTTCATTCAAAAGCCGGCATCCTCACGCAACTGAATCATTATAGAATTATGTTGCAGGTTGACTTGTTTTACAACACTACTTAATTAATCCTCTCGAAAAGAAAACGCATTTCGGAATTGCGGTTAACGTTTCATGGGTTAGCCCAACCAACTGTATGTTTGCCTTCCTAGAGCAAAAACGCCAGAGACACCGGTGAACTGACAGAGCTGAGGGAGTAATGGCTTTTATTCAGTCAGCCATACCTCCTGAACAAGCGTGGCCAGAAACACAAACATACGTACTGAAACTGTGCTTGTTGGCCTCAGGCAATGGAAGAGGCTCTTTAGACATCGTTCAGCAGAGGGGTACTTGCAGGAAAATTCGTCGGTGACAAGCAAAATACTCCGTTGTTCTCTCTGGGGGGAGGAGGGGGCTGGTGGTGACTTACTACATCGGCTGGGGGAGGGGGGGGGGGCTGATGGAGAAAATTAGCTCAAAATAAGCGTGAAATCGACAACCGACGAGCGGCTAACAGTAGTTCGGCAAAGCACAGTTACGAAGTTTATTAAACAAGCTATCTCAGTTAGAGCCGTCCTTACGGAAACATACCATCCTTAGAAGCAACTTTCCAGATAACGTGGTTCAAGTCTAATAAACCGACCTTAAAGACCGCTGGCGATGTGGCATTGCCCATTAGAGTAAGGGCGAATTAGTGAACATAAACGTACAAGCAACGGGTCACACCGTCTTCGCCGTAAACTCGATGCTTCAATTTAGAGCAACCTTAGGTGGGGGGCGTCCGTGTCCAATGAAAAGAACGCAACCGTTAAGCAGCGAGTTAGCGCACCTATTGCAAATTGAACTCGTAGTTATTACTTGAAAGCACGCTTCTGGCCAGAGCAGTCTACTCAAGTCGTTTCATCAACATGGGGCATGCAGAAAGAAGTCCACAAATTTGGTATGACTAATTATAATGGGATAAAGTTGCACTTAGCATTGCAGATAGAGGCTGTGTCTGACACAGCCTTGACCCCGCAAAGCCAACGGAACACGCAAAGGAGAAAATTAGGCTCAAATTCGGTTAGTCATGGGATAGTGCGATCATACTGACCGACAAAAATTCGCAGTTTCCGGACATCATCTTCCTTGGGCATTTGACCAGCTCCCTTGTAGGCCACATTGGATTTGGCCTTTTGACCGAGTTCACCGTCGTTCTTGATGCCCGTGAGGCGATTGCGGGCGTTGATCTGCAGTTGCTGGAAAAGTTCCCTTCGCTGCTGTAGGCGTTTCTCCTCGGCTGATTGCTCATTCTAGAAATTAGAGATAGAAATAACGAGATCTGGACATTTCTCGAGGGTTACAGAGTCCGACAATGCCGTTTAACTCGCACACAACTAAACTGAACTGAGCGTGTGCTGTATGGGCAATAAAAACAACCAGGATGGTGCATTTTTCCTTATCAGTCAATGCGATTAGGTGTGATCAAAAAATAGTCCAGGGCAGGACGAAGGGGGGGGGGTAAGAACTTCAATTTCGGATCTGCCTTCCCTCGTCAGCGGACCACGCGCCCAACCCAAGACCAAAATTACCTATAACGGTGACTCGGATCTAATCGGTTATCGAGTTTAGTGTTTCACCAGTTTAACCTCAAAAACAGTGTCAGCCGCTACTGAGTGCATTGAAAGTCAAATGGGGGAGGAGTTTATAAACCCGACCTGATCGCGGACATGGCAAACAAAGTAGACGATGAAGTTTGGCTTAAAGGAAATATTCATTTTATGAGATCATTCCACTCACCCGAGTCTTTTGTTCAATTATCGCACGCCGATGACCCCGGCCAAGTATCTCCTCCGTGTTACCACCGGAATTGCCATTTTGCAGGCCGACTGCGGATTTGGTCGCCTCACCGGAACCGCCGCCAGCGGATCCCTTGGTTTTGCTAGCGTTGGTCAAGCCAGACTCCCCACCATCAGCCTCCTCCTCCTCTTCTTCCTCCACATAGAGGAAGACATTCTTCTGGCGACGTTTTGCGGCCATTGTCAGTATGGCATTCGAGCCCTCGTCACCGTGGCCCACTAGCACCACATCGCCAATCCAGAGGGAGTAGATCTTGTTCTTGGCGTCGTCTGTGTCCTCGTTCTTGAGATCCTGGATAAATAAACAAATATGCTTACTCAATTGAATTAAGTAGCTCTTGTCATTGAATAAAGATGTCAAGCATTGACGGCTAACGGCGGGCCACAAAAGAGATAGAACCATTTCCTCATATAGTCCTTGCTAAAGACGTGATTGCTTGGGCTCCCACGCAGGGCCCAGGAGAGAGAACTGAATCATTCAATACGGACATAATGGGCAGCTGTCCTCCTTTGTGAGCGGTCGAAAACTATCAGTTATCGCTCGCCTTGGCGCATTTGCAGCGCCCCACGCGCATATAAGGCTTCTGTCGTTTGTGGGCAATAAGGTGATTGCTATTGTAATGTAAAACAACGTTCACATAAGTTTCTTTGCGGAAAACTGATGTGTGAAGTGTCCCGTCAGTCATTCGCTGTACGAGGACGTCAGGGGAGTTTCCTGTTAACCTCTTAGTCGAGAGTAGACGAAATTCCTGGTAGTGTTAAGTTAATAACACTTAATTGGGCAAAACACTTCTTGGACAACAATAGTTACCAGATAGAACTGAATTATTTGTTCAGTCTTTTCCTAACGTGGGTACCCCAGAGATCTTGTAAGCCGGCGCATGAGACAACAGGTATTAAAAGAAAAAGACAAGGAACTGGTTTGCTCCGATCAAACGTCCAAACAGGATGTCTGGATAACACTGTCCTCGAGTTAGACTTTAGGGAATTGCACATTTTTTCCAACGTCTGGCTTGGAGCAAGACTTTGCGGTCGTTGGATTTCGCAAAACAATGCACAGAGGACCTCCTGCTGTGTTATGACACTGAGATACCCGCCGCCGCTGTGCTCGAACTGATTGGCTTATGTTTGAAAGTTAACTTTTCATTTGACCAGGAATGCTACAAGCAACTGAAGGGAGTCCCTATGGGGTCACCCATTTCTGGTTTTCTCGCTGAAATAACAATGCAGGAACTAGAGGCTACGGCACTCCCGTTATGTACTCCTAAATTGTGGCTGCGATATGTGGATGACACATTTGTTATCGTAAAATAGAACCAGCTAGAAATGTCCCACAATACTATCAACTCGGCAATTTCTGGGATTCAGTTCATACTTGAAAAGGAAGTGGACAGCAAACTCCCGTTTCTGGATGTTTTCGTGCAGCGAAAGGTCGACTGAACGTCACGCACATCCGTTTACCGGAAAAAACTTACGCTGAAGTCATTCTACCTTATAAGAGCAACCAGCCCATTTCTCCCAAAAGGGGTGCTGTAAACAATCAGCTTAGTCTAGCAAAAACACATTGTTCTGATGAAGAAGGCTATCGAGCCGAACTGAATAACGTGTGCGAATTATTTTCACAGAATAAATACCCTAAGGAGTTTGTACGCAGATTCATGAGGCAGCGATATTCAAGGTAGAAGGAGCCGAGTAGTTTCACTCAGACGCCTGAACTAAGCACTTGGCGAACTCTTCCTTACATAGAGAATGTGTCTGAACTCGTCGAAAGACACTTAAGGAAGCACCAAATTCGAGTGGCGCATAAACCTACGACTACTTTACGCTCTCAGCGGGTACATCCTAAGAATAGGGTTAACCAGCTGAACAAGAAAGAGGTCGTCTACAAGATCCCGTGTGATGCATGTGCTGCCCTCTATTGTGGCCAGACTGGAAAATCCGCCTCACCAAGCATCCATAAGTACCAGTTGGCGGTAAAGAGGCGAGACCATCTGTCTCAGGTAGCCATGCATACTCTGGACACCGGGCACACTTTTGCTTGGGACAAAGCTCGCAATGTCGCTTTCTGCCCTTCCAAGAAGGGCCGAGACTTCCTCGAGGCAATGCACTCTGATGAATCATGCATCAACCAGCATATCGAGTTGGATGCCGTGTACAGAAACCTGAGGGACAAATGGAAGACAAAGAAGCCAACCAGATCAGGCTGACACACGGCAGCCGCCTACCGGCGCACACGCCATGCAAGTATCGACTTTATGTGCACTCGTGACGTTAGCTGTTTCTTGCTTCCACATTTGCTCTCCGTTTGCGTCTGATGACGACCTGGGGAACCAGCGTCGAAAGTTTACGCAATAAACCCTCTTGTCCAACAGAACCCATCCCCTTTCAACTTATATCGCTTGGGATGCCTACCTTTCAATACTTACGCATAGTAATTTCATTCGATGTAGTCTCCCTCTTCACCTCGATTCCATTAGATTTAGCGAGACACTGCACCGAAGAACTTCAGACCTACACCACTGATGTACCTGCCGACGCTCTACTCCAACTACTTGATGTTTGTCTAGAAACCAACTTTTCTTTCGCCAAACAATGTTATCGGCAACTGAAAGGTGCTCCTATGGGTTCGCCTATATCTGGCTTTCTAGCAGAAGTCATAATGCAGAAACTGGAATATACATCCCTTCCTCAAATTAATACAAAACTATGGCTACGCTATGTTGATGACACATTTGTCATTGTCAAGAGAAACCAATTAGACCAGCTCCACACGAATCTTAACTCCACATTTCCAGGAATGCAGTTCACATTTGAAACAGAGGTTGACGGACAGCTCCCATTTCTAGATGTCCTCGTATGCCAAAAAACTGATGAATCCCTTCAGACTTCAGTTTATCGCAAAGAAGCATACTCGCAGGTCATCCTACATTTTGAGAGTAACCATCCCATCTCTCACAAGAGTAGTACTGTCTACAGCCTACTAAACCGAGCTAAAACGCACTGCTCTGATGAAGACAGTTAACAAGCGGAAGTGAAATACCTTCTTAAATTATTTTCCCACAACGGGTACCCGCGCCACGTCGTGCGTCATTGCATGAAACATGAGTTTAAACAGAAAGGTATTTCGAAAACAGCGGCCACCCAGGCACCAAAAACATTCACCTGGCGGACCCTCCAATACGTAGAAAAAAAATGTATCTGAACTCGTCGGAAGACAGCTGAAAAAGCATCAGATACAATTAGCACACCAACCTACAACCACCTTGCGTACACAGCTTGTACACCCTAAGGACAGGGTTGGCTACCTTGATAGGAATGGCGTTGTCTACAAAATATCATGTTCCAGTTGTGATACTGTCTATTGTGGCCAAGCTGGGAAATCTGCCTCTGCCCGCATACATGAGCATCAGTTAGCGGTGAGGAGACGAGATCATTTATCCCAGGTGGCTATGCACACACTGGACATAAATTTGCATGGGAGAACACCAGCATTGTTGGCGCCTGCCCAATAAGGAAAGGCCGCGAATTCCTGGAGGCAATGCATCAACCGGCATATCGATTTAGATGCCACATACAAATTTCTCAGTGACAAATGGAAGAGTGCGCAGCTAATGCCGAGGGGATGACGAAAATCGTTGACGCGCATTGGCGCAGGCTTCGGCCAACCACAGAATCACTTGTACATAGCCCAAAAGTCTGACGACGAGCTGGGGAACCAGACTCGAAAATTTACTCATTAATGTTTATTCTCTTCCCAAAGAATCTTACTTATTTTCAATTAAATTTCTTGGGATGCCCGTTTTCCAGCACATATATATAGATATATCTTGCAAGTGGGTGGGACGACAGAATGCGGGTATACTGATGAAGTACTGTTTAGGACTAATTCTCTGTCATTCTGTCAATCATAACCATAACTATCAGCTGAGATCAGAAACAAAAAACGCTCTGGTACACGGCGCTGATGGTCCACAGACGGCGTCCGCCGGATGTGGCATACGCGTTATTGGAACAATATTTTATATATCTACCCGAACTCTCCGTTGTCCCTCGCGCCTGTATTTACAACTTAAACGACCTCCGTCTGGTAGCTCCTTGCCTACTCGTGAAATGTGTCACCTATACGGAACTTGATTGCTCCTGCAAGCCAGAAGAGCGGTGAGCGACCACTGCTCATATATATATATATATATATATATATACATGTGTGTGTGCATTTTTTGACTGACATCTCGCCTCTTTGGACTGAAAACGATCCACGTAAGTCAGCGAGGGTGAGTGGGTCATATGCCGTCATATCTAACAAACAAGTTTCTACCTACGTCATTGTATTTCATAGAATCCTTAGTCGGCTACCACGGGATATAAAGTAAAGTCCTCGCGCATCAGAAATAAAGGACCAAACAGACAAAAACGCCGTACCATAAGCCTAACGGGGTCATATAGGATCGCAAAAGTACAGGTAAACATGATTCTGTTCAGGAAATTTCCAGCGTACATTTTCGGGACATAAATTCTGTTAACGTATCCACGACCAAAAATCAGGGGCGCCAAGAACAGCGAGCTCATCGTCAGCAGCAAAGTTCTTCATGATAGTTGCCATGGTGGCCGGCCAGCAATAGCGACAAAAGCAGTAAACATGGCGATGTAAAAGCGAGACGGCAAGACACCGAGAATCGATAATGGACGGGAACAAAAAAAGGGAATACTCACTTGGAAGCCGATATTTACATTGATTGACATGCCCTTACGAAAAACCGACGTGCTCTTTGGTCCGATCAGTTGGCAGCCATCTCGAAATTCTATCCCAGTGGCGAAGCTAAAGCAAACATCAGACATTGCATTATTGCATTGCATTGCATTGCTTACTCGGTCAGTCGTGGCAATATAAAAATGTGTTAGCGGAAAAGTACGTGGTAAATCCTGGCTGCATGGCTATGCTTTTTCTCGCTTTCTCTTTTCTCTCCACCCTAATCAGCAGCTGTGGGTGACGTGGTATGATGTCCCCGTCTAAGGCGCATCACGTGTGAATTTGCTTCTCTATGCCTAGTCGAAAGAGTTGAACCCCCCTAATACTAAATAAAGTTGGCGTAATTCCCTCCTTTTAGGCCCATACGAAGAGCAGTACTCGGTAGGAATCGGGGTAGGCTGTCAGTAACGGGTCTGCTTTTCTTTTAAACAGCAGACAAGTTCTCAAACCTGAACAGGATATTTTATTGCGTTGATACCTATAAGTCGAATGAAGTTGGGTGGCAGATAGTTCGCGATCCGCAAATCGCTTATAGGAAACTCCTAAGACAGAGTGGCAGAGTGCCTCCTGGCAGCGAAATGCCATTGGCATGAAAACAGGGGGGAGAATTATTTGTTGGCAAATACAAGAGAAAAAAAGAAGGAATGCAATTGACAAGCTTTAATTTGCACAATGAGAAGATCGGAAGATGACCAGGAACTCACCCAAAAGATCGCGTGAGCTTGTCCACGAGTTCAGGGTGTTCGGATTGAACTTTGTCTACAATGCTGCTGTACAGTTTGGAGAAGTGCATGCCTATGAATAAGGTATCAGCAAATTATTAGTCAGGAAGTGAGTACGGGAAATTGGCGATAAGCAGACTCTCTGGAAAATTAAACTTGGCTGAGAAACGAGCGAGAATATCAAAAAGCCTAATACACTTTGTAGGGCCTATCGATGTTCAGACTAGGTCTGAGAGCCGTGTGCTTTTGTTAACTTCACTGCGACCACTTACTCCGTCAGAGAAGCTGGGCCGCCGGCAACAAATGTTGTTGTGATCATGCCCAGTTATCCCCCCACTACCAACCCAATTCTCATCCACAAAGGTCTCTCCCAACCATTTGATATTCGGTCAAGTGTTCGACATAATTGCATTCCGTTGCTCAGTCTACAAAGCTGCATCATTGACTGGATCTGAGAAAAGGTTAACAGCGATATTGGCAATGTCATAATCGTCCCAATGCGCTGGCCAAGCAGCCTTTTCTTCGCTGGCGTAATCTCCCTGTCTTAGGTTAGCCACTTCGGTCAGTTTATTCATCAATGCTGTGGAATGTCGGGTCGCACTCTTCAGCTTGCTGCTGTCAACCAATGGTAAGAACGACGTCGTTGCCCGAACCGATGCTGCTTGCAATCCTCTGAAGATGGGTGTGCTTCCGTCTAAAGTCCAAAGGCTATCCGCTCAGAGAGTATCCCTCTACGGTTGCGTATGTTTGGCCTTGAATATAGAGGACGGACGGCAATTACGAGTTGTGCTTAATGAATGACGAGGTTTCGACTGACGTACTCAGGCCTCGTTCTGAATGGAACACTTTGTATTCACAGAAACAATATCGCAGGGCTAGCCCGACTCATGCAAGCAAAGTTGGAGCAATTTAGACATGCTATTTGTCAGTGGTAACACGAAACCTGCAGCATTGTCGGAGTCCTATGACCCCTACTAATTGAAGATGAAGAAGTTGACTGGAAGTCTGACCGGACATGGCGCATTAAGACGTGGTGGAGCTTCTCAGACCTGAAGTAGTCTCCGTCATTAGGGTGAGTCAGCCTAACCTGATTGGCTGCTGTAGATGATGGTACGAGAAGACGATATACGTTATCACTGATACCAGATAGATCTGACATGACTGCAGGTCCATCAACTACAAGGAAATGGGAAGGGACGGTCGAGCAAAAGTGACTACTTTTGTTAACAGAGAATAGTAACTTAACAGAAAAGTTGGCGTTTATTTTGTAATGACCATAAAGTAGTACAGATGGCAAATAAGAAAACTGCGTCTTAAGGGAGCGTATGAGAATATATATGATCGAGTCGCCTCGTGTTAACGGAGCAAGTAACCGGGTGTCAAAAAAATATGCAGACAACAATTAAGACGATTCGGGAGACAGGCAATACTAGCCATTACCTACCGGGAGTGATTTGAGAAATGGCCCAATTAAGCAAGTCGTGTAGATATTCGTAGTAAGTAGACTGCTGTTGCGTTGGGTTGACAACTAGAGTGCGGACGACGTTTGAACAATAGCTGCGGTATCGCACGCCCAGTGAGCAGATGATGGTTCCAAAGTGCATAGGTTTCTTATCACTGAACAAAGCAAATGCGGAACATTTGTCTTCTTCACTCTTGAAAGTACGTTAGGTCATCGCAATTACAGAAAACGAATACAGCGAGGCAAATTCAGCAGTTTAAAGCACAGCTTAGAATCATTTTAAAAATAGGAGCTAGAAGTTAAAGAGACTAGCAGGGTTTGCGTCGATTTATTGGACGCTGACAATTATCGGCCTCTAAATTATTTAAAAAACGCCACGGTGGGACCAACCTTTCAACGCTGAATTTTAAAGCATAGTTGCCACCGCTTTGAATAATTGGGTCGTAACACATTTCCAGATTATTCATCTCGAAGCCCTTGGTAATGTCCTTGTTTTTTAAGGCATCTTGGCATCCGTCGGAAAGTGATTGATGCGAGACTTTCTAATAGAAAAAAAAATTATTTAAAAATGAACCTAACAGGCAGAGTGAAAACGGAACTTAAGGGCCAAAAAGTGACAAGAAATATACCCGATCTTCGTCAATAACATCCATGATCTTCTCTTTTAGGTGCTTCGTGAAAACGTTGCAAGTAATTTCGCTTGCTTTCTGTAACAGCTCAATTTCCTGCTCGTCTTTGATAGCAAACGCTTCAGAGAAGATGGTTGAGGCATCAACACATTCCTTGGCCTTCGATTTCACAGCCTCGCCACAGGCCTTCGCGAAATCCGATTCCAATTTTTCTTTTACGAAGTGTCCCAGGACCTGACCCTTCCCGCTGGAAGTAAAGGCCTCGACGAGCTTAAGGATATTCCCCTTATCATTATTCTCCTGAAAAAGGAATATATTCAGTGGCATAAACAAACCGGTGTTCGTGTAAGAAGCGTAACCGTCAGGTCTTTTAAAGAGGCTGTCTTGGTGCCTTTTAAAAATTCGGTCTTTTTCTTGCTGCTGAGGATATACAAACCGCTCCTTGCAAATAGCATCGCTGTATCCTGCATTTCATATCCAAAAAGCCATGTCTAACAGATAGCTGTGAGAATGGAAACTCAATAAAACCTGTAACGAGACGGTCTTGCTGTAAAGAACATCGGATTTGCCGTTAACCACTAAAAAAGCATCTACAGACGCTGCGGAGCTTTCGGGCGACTAAATTGCACAACAAACAGAAAAATAGAATGTACCCCCCAGAGTTCATAAAACTTCTGCAGCCTGTTGGAGAACACGCGCACATCCAGGACCGCGGCCATCCTTTTGACTTTTTGACCTATCCGCGGACTCCGCGTCCGAGTTAAAACAATACCATCGGTCCTTCGCACATTCGTAGAGTAAACATGCTGACCAACCACCTCTCATGCGTTTTTTCGTTGTCTGTAAGTGCGATCTTATCATAAGTTATATATAGGGCCCTGCAAACAGACATGTCATCATAATTATCGATTGACTCGCCTGTGTTTATTGTACTTAGTGGTGTCAGTATTTATATCATTTTGAATAGTTCTTTTATCTGTACAGTTTCGAAAAGTCTTCTGCTGCTGTTGCATGTTTTTGGTTTACAATATTTTTATAAGATTTCCTTCCTTGTAACAAATAGGGTGCTCAACGGTGCAGCACCTACCCTTCCCCAAATGCACTTATGCTTTATTATTTAGTATATGGTATGGTAGGGGGCGGGGGAGTAGGGGAGGGGGGTAGTATATATAACGGGGATAGGTATAGCCTTTGAAAACCCTATTAACAGACAAAGATTGAAAAAACGTACATATGCTTAAGTGGATATACAGGTAAATTTCATCAGTTCTTATCAAGTAAATACATGGCCACTATATAGAATGTCCTGAAGTCTTCGTTAAAATGTCTCAACGCTTTCCGTCAGAACAACCGAATTAGATAATTTGTCCCAATCCTCAATCACCCACGGGAGAAAAATTCAGCCGCACTTCACGCTTCGCGTACTTTACCTTCAGTTTTTATTTGTGACGTCGGAGATTTGTCGTTTGTGCCATTTCAAAAAATTGACCAATTCGAGTGCACAGTCTACTCTGACAAGATTGAAGACAATGATCATGTCCCCTCTGTATTGCCTGTAATAGAGAAGGACAAGTCTAAGCCTTTCCATCCGCTCCTTAAAACGTAGGCTCTTCAACCCTCCGACAAGGTTAGTGGCTCTTCGTTACACCTTCTCCGAGAGAGAGCAATCTTGCTTCATCCAGGGAAGCCATGCCTGCATACCACATTCCAAAATTGGCCGGTAAATGTTCCAAACATCCGCCGGAAAAGTTGTTCGTCGAATTCAAGGGAGGATTTCCTGATCGCTTCCAGGATGCCCATAGCCTTCTTTGCTATCTTGGTGCCGTGAGACAATGGTTTGAGATTGAAAGTTATCCACACACCAAGGTCCTTTACCTCATTTACAAGCTCGAGTTCGTGACTGGCGAGGAAATAGTGATATTCAGACCTCAAATCCTTTCCGTTACTATACCTTAGTCTGTTGAATTGACATTTGTTGAAATTGAGATTTAGAAGCCATTCATCACACCATTATTGCAGTCGATCTAAGTTTTTTGCAAGTTAAGCGCGTCCTCTAGCTCTTCAGTCGAACTCTACATCTTCAAGTCACCAGCGAACGTTAACTTATCGCATGTTAGGCATTCTAAACAATCGTTTACATATATCAATAACAAAATAGGACCTAGGACGCTCTCCTGTGGAACGCCTCTGTAAACGGTTTCCCACTCCTATTTGGCATCACCAATGCACACGCGATGACGTCGGCCTGTGATGTAGTCCATCAACAAATTGAGAAAGTTGCCATTCTCACCCATTTTGCGCGGTTTATATATTAATCGTCTGTGTGGCACCCTGTCGAAGGCTCTGCTGGAGTCAACGCAAACTGCATCTACTAAAAAACCTATCTCTAGGGCTTTCGTCCAGCTTTCCATGGATATGAGCAGTTTAGTGAGGCAGGATCTACCACCTCTACATCCATGTTAATGTTCACTAGGGAAGTGGTTCCCCTCAATATGTCTTATCAGCTCCTTTTTTTATTATTTTCTCCATTAATTTGCAACAAATGCTTGTGCGACTCACTGGTCTGAAGCTCTTTGGCGAAGTCCTTCCCCCTCCCCTTCCTCCACCTTTTTATATGGGACCGATATCGGCCAGCTTCCAGTCAGAAGGCAGAACACCTGATTCCATGGAACTTGCGAAAGTCATGAAGAGTGGAGAGACTAGTTGGTCTGTGAGTTTATAGAGAACTTTTGCGGATATACCATCCGGACCCGGAAATTTAGAGTGCCGCAGCCGCCTCGGAGTTTTCCTTACTGAGTTCGTTGTGAAGTTCACTGCGTTAATTAATTCCAGGTGGGGCAGTTTGCCGGTGTACTTTATCATCAAAAGGCGGCTCCTCGGTATACACAGACATGGAGAGGCCAGATAACAGCTTCGTTTTATCTCATTTAACGGTTATCTTATTTCCTTCATAATTCTTGAGACAAGGAACGGGGTGCCGGTTACGGTTTGCCCTGTTAACGTACAAGAAGTGACCACTGCGTTCTTGTTTGGGAGTATAGTCATTTTTCAGTACCCGAAGTTCGAGCTGCTGAGGAAAGAAACGTATGGAAGGGGGATTATACCCGAATGAAAAACCTGCTACAGAAGGTGAACTGGAATGCAGCAGAAGGACCTGACCCAGAAAGCGATTGGCTCTTCTTCAAGAACATAATGCAGCACTTGGTAGAGAGCTGTTGCCCACTGAAGAGGAAACCGCGCACATCCCGACCAGAGTGGGTGACGTCAGAAATAAAGAAGAACCTTAAATTGAAAAGGAAACTTTGGAAAAAGTACGCCAATTTTCAGCAACCAGACCATTTGGCTGAATTCAAAAAACAGAGGAATGTATGTCGGAATCTGTTGAGGAGGCAACGGGCACAATTTGAGTCAAAACTATTAAAAAATATCCCGCAAAATTCATAAACATTCTTTGGATACGTGAATAAAGCAAAACGCAACCGGGACTGCATTCCCTGCCTAAAAGATCGCCAGGGAAATACGTTGTCTGACAACTCAGATAAGGCGAATATGTTATCCGACTTCTTCACGTCTGTGTATACTGAGGAGCCGGCTTTTGATGAAAGAGTTTACCTCCAAATGTCAAATCAAACTGTACAGTTAGCACGGTGGACTTCACAACAGACACGGTAAGGAAAACTTTGAGGCAACTACAGCCCACTAAATCCCCTGGTCCGGACGGCGTGTTCGCGAAAGTTCTGAATGAACTCTCAGACCAACTGGCCTCTCCGTTATCCAAGATCTTCAAAACTTCGATGGCGAACGGGGCTTTACCTACCGACTGGAAGAAAGCAAATATAAGCCCCATTTATAATGGTGGCGAGAGAACAGCCCCAAAATTTTCAGACCAGTGAGTCTCACTAGCGTCTGTGGCAAGTTGATGGAAAGAGTAATAAAAACGGAGCTGATGCGGCACCTCGAAGACAACAACTTGCTCAGTCTACATCAGCATGGATTCTGAAGCGGACGATCTTGTCTCACCAACCTCCTAGTATCCATGGAGAGCTGGACGAAATCAACCGACATGGGCTTATCAGTCGACGACGTGTACATCGACTTCAAAAAGGCTTTTGACAGTGTTCCACACAGACGACTTATATGTAAACTACGTCAAGTGGGTGTGAATGGAAATCTTTTGAAATGGCTAGCCGATTTTCTTACGGGCAGATCTCAGCGTGTGTGTATTGGGCATCCGTGCACAGTGGCGTTTCGCAGGGAAGCGTTCTGGGTCCAATTCTGTGCCTTATATATGTGAACGACTGCCTGGACTGTCTGAACTGCGAGCGAGTAATGTTTGCAAATTGTGGCAATCAATAGAGAGGCCGGAAGATTCTGTACAATTACAAGAAAATTTAAATCGCTTGCAAAAATGGTGTGATGAGTGGTGTCTTAGCCTCAGTCGTAACAAATGCCAATTTATCCGATTACGTTCGAGCAACAGGAGGACGTTGAGAATTGAATCTCAGTACCTTATAGGTCACCAACTCGAATCAGTCAACGAGTTAAGAGACCTCGGTGTGAGGATGACGTCAACTCTCAAACCATCGTCTCACTGCGCCAAGGTATCAAAGAAAGCTATGGGTATTCTAGGCTCGATCAGAAGATCCTTCGTCAATTTTGATGAAGAACTTTTCGGCCGAGTATTTGGCGCATACGTTCGACCAATGTTGGAATATTGTGTCCAGGCATGGTGTCCCTGGACGAAAAAAGATTACACCCTACTAGAGAACGTACAGGCTAGTCGGCGGATTATGTGGCTTACCTTATGAGAGACGGCTGGAGAAGCTAAAATATTTCTTTCTCTTACAGACAGTACAGAGGGGACATGATCATGGCCTACAGGATCGTCCGAGGGCCAGACGATGCACATCAGTTTGACGACTTCTACGAACTGGCGTGGGCGACAAATCTCCGAGGGCACCCATACAAATTAAAGACAAAGCATTCAAGACTCGATTTGCGGGCCAAATTCTTCACTCACCGGCTGGTTGAGGGATGGAACAAATTGCCGAACTCCGTTGTCTTAGCGGAAAACGTCGTGACTTTCAAAAGAAGACTAGATAAACCTATGCTTGATGGTCAAACATTTACATGATATCAATAACTGGCATAATTGCTATGTAAATATGTGCATGTTTTTTTCGTACGTCTATCTGTCAATAGGGTTTTCCAAGGCTCTGCCTCTATCCCTCATATATACTTAATTATACTGAAGAAGGGCTGCCTCTGACTTTTTGGTATTTCCCTGGCAATTTTTGTCTCAAATTCTGCTCTTTTTCTTCTCAGGAGACTCCGAAACCTATTCCTCTGTTCCTTAAATTCTGAAAGATGTTCGAAATGTTGAAAGGTGGCGTACCTCTTCCACAGTTTCCTTTTCTTTTTGTGATTTATCTTTATTTCTGATGTCACTCCATTCTTTTTGAGCGGACAACAATTTTCTACCGAGCACTAGACCGCGTTCTTAAAGAAAGCCCGGGCGGCGTTTTGGTCAGATACATGCGCAAGATTCCATTCCATCTCAGCCAGCAGTTTTTTCATCTTGGAATAATTCCTTTTCCATACATTTCTCACCTTTTCGGCTCGAATCTCTGGTACAAAAAAATGACTGTACTGCGAAACAAGGACGCAATGATGACTTTAGCCCAGGGGCGTGTTAGAGGTCAGCCCAAAAACATAGTTT